TTTGCATTTACTATCCCTGCACTGAATCATGAAGGTCCCGATCAGAGATATGAATGGAAAGTACTCCCTCAAGGGATGGCTAACAGCCCAACTATGTGTCAAATTTATGTTAACGAAGCAATCCAGCCACTTAGAAATCAAAATCCTGAACTACAAATGTTTCACTATATGGATGATGTATTGTTGGCACACAAGGATAAAAACACATTGCTGGAATGTTATGCCACACTTACAAACTTAAAATTAAAAAATTATAATCTAGAGATAGCAATAGATAAAGTACAATTAAATTTTCCAATTAATTATTTAGGAGTTCTATAATCCTCAACCATGGTCCATCCACCAAAAATTCAAATACGAGTAGATCAACTCAAATCACTTAACAACTTTCAAAAGTTATTAAGAGACATAAATTGGATAAGGCCTTATCTAGGCATACCAACAGGAGAGTTGGGACCTTTATTTGATATCCTAAAAGGTCCATCAGATCCAAATCCACCCCGCATGTTAACGCCTGAAGCAAGAAAGGCATTAAAAATTATTGAAACATATATGAAAAATATGCATTTGGATAGAATTGATATAGGTTTGCCTTTATTATTTTGTAATACCAACAAAAATATTCCTACAGGAGTATTTTGGCAAGAAGGTCCATTACTGTGGATACATTTATCTTATTCTCCTAACACTGTTCTTACTAGGTATCCTGAGGCTGTAGGACAATTAATACTCAAAGGAATAAAAGCAGCAAAGGGACTAAGGCAGTATCCTCAAAAATTCAGTGAGTAATACCAGAAAAATTGTTTTAGAATGGAATGAATCCAGAGAAAAGATGGGGTTGCTGGTAATGGTCCCTTAAAATGCCCTCTCAGGGTGTCCTGAGCATTAAGGGAAAAGATGTGGTTCTCTTTCACCTTCAAAGGAACATAACACCCTCTCACTATATGTGTTCCCAACAAAATTGTCAAAGAAGAAAAAAATTTATAATTTGGTTATATTTAATTTGGTGAATGCTGTTGAATACGTATTTCACACATTGGGGCCCAAAGGCAGTAACATTAAATCTTTTCTATGTAAGAGCACTGAGGATTCTGAGTCTTACGTACCAGTGACCTATGCTCTCATTTGCTCAAGGACATCTTAGTTGCTCCCAAGTCTTGGTGTATACGGATAAAGCAGTTATCAACATCTGTGGGCAGGTTTTCCTGTGGACTCAAGTTTTCAACCCTCTGGGTAAATGCCAAGGAGAATGATAGCACATTGCATGGTAAACTGTATTTGGATTTGCAAGCACCCTCCCAGCTGTTTTGCAAAATGGTTGCACTCTTTGCCTTTCCACCAGCAACCAATGAGAGCTCCTGCTGCTCCATATCCTGGCCAGTATGTGATATTGGCCATATTCTAGGTTCTGGCCATTCTAATAGGTTTGTATCTCATTGCTTTAACTGCATGTGCCCGATGACATGATGAATAGCATGTCCATATGATCCTTATTTGATACCTTTGTATATTTTTTTGGTAGGATATCTGCCAGCCCCATTTCTTATTGGGCTTTGTTATCATTATTATTATTATTATTGAGTTTTAAGAGCTTTATATATTTTGGAGAACAGTTCTTTATCAGATGCATATTTTGCAAACATTTTCCTTACAGTCTAGTGCTATTTTCTGATTCTCTTGTTCATGTCTTTTGCAGAGTACAACATTTTAACATTCATGAAGTCCAGCTTATTAATTTTTTCTTTAATGGACTGCATTGCTGGCGAATCCATGCCCCCACCAGCCCTTGGCCCATTCCCCCCCCCCCCCCGCCATCTATTCTACTGAAGTTATTTTACCTTTTTATCGCCTTTATTTGTAAACTTTATTTATGTAAAATAGTATTTCTCTAAACTTTTGTTTAGTAATTTAGAAGACTTTCATCTTGTGAAGCTTTAATTTTTTCTTTCACTTTCTCAGTCTGTTTCTTGTTCTGGGTTTGACGGAAGGCTCAGGTTTGCTGGTCGTCCCTGGATCTCAGCCTTGGAGCAGGTTGATGCAGATCTGATGGTGGACACAGGGCAGCACAGGGTTGGAACTCCGAGGTGTCCACTGGAGATCCAGAAGGCAGGAGGACAGGGCAAACGAGAGCAGGGGGGACTTTCAGCACGCTACGGGAAAAGGCTGAGAGCAGGAGAGAGAGCAGGGGTGAGGAGGGAGGAGCCCAACAGAAGCCAGGGTGCTGGCTGTGGAGAGGTGCAATTGGAAAGGAGGCTGGGATGCACCACATCCATATCCTGTGATGATTTAGAAAATTGCAAGTGTAAATCATTGGTACAAAGGTAATGATGATATCACTGGCTCCCAGGGAGAGAGGACCATTCGAAACCACCACTGTGGCAACTGCAATATAAACAAGAAACAAATCTTAGAGACTAAATGGAATGACAGGCAAAAAAGAAAATTAAGTTGGACTGAGAACATTACACTGTGTAAGTTGGTAGCAGCAGCTCAGCAGCTGCCACAATTCCCCTGCCCTTCAAATGCACCTGACCTGTGGGTGTGTCCCCACCCAGCCTGGGCTGGATGGGCCTCCCCAGGGTGTGCTTCCTGTCTCCCTCCTCCCAGTGCTCCTGGTCTGAGTCAGCACAGAAGCTGGTGGAAGAATCACACCTTCCCCTCCCAGTACTGGAGGTTGCCTCTGGCCAGGATTACCTCCCCCGCCCCATGGCAGCCTTGAACTCTCAGAACATCCTCTAGCACTTAGCATGGCAGACTCTGGGGAGACCCCACAGATGTTGCTTTGATGGAGCTGCTCTTAAGGAGGATGTAAAAGAAGGTTCCGCATGTCCACTTGGACTCTAGAGCCATCACCTCACCTGGCCCCCGATTAGTGAACAGAGGAGATGGTGCTGTCGATGTAGACAGGAAGTTCAAAGAGACAAAGCATGCAGCCACTTAGTAACAGACAAAGCCTGGGAACACAGCCCCTGGATGAGGAACCTAAGAACACAGCCCTAGGTTCCTGCTGTAGTTGCTGTTTGTTTCATTTACTTTATTATCTAGAGAAAGGACCATTTGATTTCATTTAGAGGTAGAATAACAATATTCTCCAAAACTGTTTCTCCCAGATCCAATATTGAACCCCTTTGAGACAGTGAGCTTGATAGAAACTGTGTGTCCTCCCCATCCCACAACCAGAAAGTTCAGATTCCAGAACCAGCTGAGCATGGAAGTTTCCTCTTCAGAGCTGATAGAAATTCCAGCTCAGGGCACAGTACTGCTCTGCTTTCACACTGCTGTCCTTTTTGGGGGGCTCAGAGCTCACAAGGAGCAGCCCTTATTTGCATGTGAGACAAAGTGGTTTTCGTGGCGCCCTCAGCAGTTTGCACACACGAATCCACCAGTGAACACTCAGAGTGTTGTGGGAGGAGGAGGAATTGGAGAAAGGCAGACTCCACACCTGCTCAAATCTAGGGGTCCCTGATCCTCTAGTATGAGCCCACTCACATGCCAAAGGTAAGTTAGATTTTCAGAAAGGTGTCCATCAAGACAGACCATCATCCTGGGAGCTCACCTGGGTGCTCAGCAAAAATGCAGCTTCCAGGCTCCAAGGCAGCCACACACTTAGTCCCTACAAACTCTTGCTGAGCATACTGGCCACAGTCTTCATGTCCCCTGGTGGTCATCACCAGCTCTCATTACCTAAGGGCCTTGGTGGACATCCTTGACCTAACAAACAGGTATGCTACCTTTATCAACTGTGTCTGCTTTTCCAGGAAATTGAGCCTCTCCATACTCCTTATGGGAGGGAAAAAGTTCCTAGTTTCCAACCAGGAGTTTTCTACTCAAGTGTAAAACCTACCAACCTTTTTTGGTAAGCAATACAAAATTGTATCAATTTTGTACTTAAAAAAAATACAGTTCCATGCTCAAATATTTATGGAAATTACAGAAAAGCACATGTCAAATAGCTCATAGTTCCAAAGGAACTACACTAAAAGGTATAGTGACTCTTTTTCCAACTTTAAACATTTTTTTAAAACTTTAAAAAAATTTTTCTGAGACGACCTTTTCTAAAAATCTTGAAAGCATTTGTGAGTTCTTTTTTCTAAGTGCGGTGGTGGATGGAGTTGGTGAATGTCTCTCCAGTCCTGGGCTCCGAAGTAGAAACTCAGGTCAGTACCATCCACAAGACCTGTCCTCCGGGAGGAAGATGTTCTGAGGCAGCCTGAGATGGGCAGGCTGTGCTGGCCTGTTGCAGGGCTGAGGGGCACAGGGGCAGAGACTGGGCAGCAGAGTGGGACTCCTGAGGGAAGCAGCATCTGACAGAATCCTGAAGACTGGATAGAATTGCACCAGGAAGTGACAAGAGAGAGGACAATGTGTCAGAACAACAAAGGGACAGAGAACAAAGTTGAGGACACAGTGGGTAAGCCCAGTGTAGGGAGCAGCATATCCATTAGGGCACGGCCAGAGAGTTAATGGTGTTCCCATAAACCTGAAGGATCTGCTGAGGGCTCCAGAGAACACAGGGGCAGCTGCCATACTGAGAAGGTATCTGGAGCCAGGCGTGGGCGCGTGCCCTAGCTCCGTGTTCCTTACGCCCTGTGATTAGTGGGTACAGTGTCATCCAGGCAGGACAGCCCAAGCAGGTGACCACTGATGACAGGCAGCCACCTCCACAGGGCTGCTTTGCGTTTCTCTGGCCTTGGTTTCTTCTGCAGTGTTCCGCGATGCTATCTGTTAAAGTTTTGCACCACTAAAGAGAAAAATTAATTAAACTTAAATTTCATTTTTATTTCACTAACTAAATTAAAACTTTAAATCAAAATTTAATTAATTAAATTCATTTACATTTAAATGAGAAATATTATTTTTAATTAAAATTTAGTGAGATTGAGAAAAATTTAATTCTGGGGAATGACTTTGTTGGGTAGGGTCGAACTCGGGGAGGCCACACACTATTGCTGAAATATCCACAGATCCCAAACCCGGAATGAACCACACGAGACACTGGCTGCAAAAAGCAGGAGGCGTTTATTCTCACACAGGCGCCTGCGGGTGCACAGCAAAACCTCAGCCGGAGCTTCGGTGAACTGGCACACCGGGCTTTGGGGTATAGATCTTTTATAGGGGACAGGTGGGTTAGGTCTTAGCTTAGCACAGCAACAGCCTTCCTATTGGTCCCTCTGAATTCAGCAGTTGAGTCACCTAGGGGGGTAAACTTGTTTTCCCACTTTAGTTCTCAGAAAAACCATAAAATTGCATCCTGTCCTTTTAGTTCCTGTTTTTACCCTGTTTGCTCAAGTTTGGCCCTTCCGGGGTTATCTATATGGAACATCTTGCAGCTTCAGGGCACAGGGGTTAGTTTTCCTAATGTTGGGCCTGGGGCCTTGGGGTCCTTCATTCCCCCCTTTTTTTATATCATGGATATAATCTTATATCCATTGACCCATCTGCTCGGATTCCAGCATTATTTCAGCTGACGGCTCAGCATACTGGTTGGGGGTTGGTATTTACTATTAATCTAATTTTGAATAGGACCCCAGGGTCATAGGCAGTTTTATGATATACTCTCAGGCCCCATTGTTTTTTTTTTTTATCCAATTTTTTGATGCTTTGCCTGCCTGAGTAAAGGTAATGTTTAAGGGGTTGCAGGCAAATGCGGTACATGGCCCTGCCCCGTACCATTTCAGGCTCCTGCAAGAGTCGGCAGAAAGTGGGGGATCCTGTTTTTTTTTTTTTTTTTTTTTTTAAATTATATTTCTTGTCCCCGATAATACTTGTCATGTCTGGCTCACAGATTGGTTGGGGTTAACTGATATGGGGAAGACACAGCACAAAGCAAGAAAAATTAACAGCGAGTGAGTCTTATCTTTAGCGGATTTTGGGTACGTTGCAACTTCCATTCTGGATCCGGAGAGGTGTCTGCGGACTCCTGTGGATGTGCAGTCTTCACGTGGGAAGCATGGATCTAAGCAGCGATGCCGTCCACTTTGAGTGCAGTAGGAGTGGTCAGCAGGATAGTGTAGGGTCCTTTCCACCGCAGTTCGAGGTTCCTGCTCTGGTGCCTGCGTACCCAGACGGTATCTCCGACCTTGAAGGGATGTGGCAGCAAGGGGGTTTTAAGTTCCTCTTTGTATGCTGCGGCTAGAGGCTTCCAGACCTCGTTCTGGACCAATTGCAAAGCATGCAAATGAGTCTGCATAGATGGGGTGAGGGAGGCATAGGTTTTAGTTTTATAAAAGTTAATAGCGGGAGGTGGGGCACCGTACAGGATTTTAAATGGGGTTAGTCCATGTGGGCCTGGGGTGTTTTGGGCCCCATACAAGGCTAAAGGTAGGAGTTGTACCCAGTCTCTAGTGCCAGTTTCAAGTGTCAATTTAGTTAAAGTCTCTTTAATGGTTTTATTTATCTTTTTTACCTGTCCTGAACTTTGGGGTCTATAACCATAATGTAATTTTTAATTAATTTTCAATGTATTGGCTACCGCCTGACTTACCTGGGAGACGAAGGCAGGCCCATTAAATGTTTCCTTTTTGGTCCTCATTATCAGGATCAAAGGGAGTAAACCTCCGATAAGTCTCTTTTAATTTCTCTAAGAAGGCTGTCGGAGTTTCCTCTGACCCCTGGATAGTCTGTCTTACCTGAGCCAAATTGGTGGGCCGTCGCCCTGCTCCATGGAGACCCCCCTGCTCCATGGAGACCTGCTATGAGTAACTGGCGATAGAGATGTAGGTGGTTCTCACCTGCTTCAGTCGCATAGTCCCAGTTTGGCCGGGTTAAAGGAAAAGCTTCGTTAATCAAATTTGTGAGTTGGGTGGGGCGCCCGTCGTCCCCTGGCACATTTTTGCGAGCTTCCAAAAGAGCCTTTTGTTTTTCCTCTGTGTCTAATAGAGAAATCTTTAATTCTGCTACTTAGGGCTGGATAACCATATTAGCAAACATCAAATCTACCTGTGTTGTCTAGAAATAAAAGCTTTAGACTAAAACTATTTTAGTAGTTCCTTTGACAGTTATCAGGCATTTCTGTCTAAGAATCTCTCTTGTAGCCTCCAGTCTATTTATTTATGGAAGTTATATTTAATTATTATTATCATTTAAGATGTCCAGGAACAGCTGTGCTTTGGCTTTGACTGTCTTTGCTAAGTGTTTAAGATGAAGCAAGTCAAACTGACTTTTGTTTCTACCTATTGTTTACAGTCAGCTGAGTTATCCTGGGAGTCCTCGGGAACTTCATAGCAGCTTTTCAGTTCTGCTAGTGCCATTTGCGCTAGGATGGGTCCAGGCCTTGTTTGACCATATGGCTTCCCTCAGAAGCATCAGGGATGTCTCCCTTTTTTTAATGACCCTCCTCTTTACAGCAAATGCACCATTTGGCTTTCTGTCCTCCACTGGTCTCATTAATCTCCCTGCTCAGGAGGTTATGTGGCCTAGAGTTGCTGAGCCCTTTGGAGAAGTCCCCTATTCCCTGATTCAGACTGACTCAGAGGGCAAGAGCCAAATATTGGTTTTCTTGGCCCTTTTAATTTAACTAATTTTAAAAACTTGATCTTAAACATCCAGCAAATAAGTTAACAGCCTTATATTAAGAGCACTGGGCTTTAATGTCTATCTTTCTATCCTGTAGGTGATAACTCTTTATCTTATGTTGACCCAGGTTGTGTTCTTAAAGCAATACCTCTTTAGAATATTAATAGGCAATCCTTAAACCATCTATAAGCAAACTACAAAACAAAACTAACTAGGGTAAAAACATATTTAGCTTATATAATAGCTACCTTGAATTCTGGCAAGGTTATACATCATAATTTCCTGTTTGAGATCCTAGTAATCTTGGCAAAAACCTACTTTTGGACACAACTTTAACTGTACTGAAATCTGGCTTACTTTTTTTATAGCCATTTTCACATGTAGTGAGATGGGACAGAGCCTTATCTCAAGTAAGGCAGGGCTCTTTATAAATCTCAAGTACTATAGTTCTGAAGCTGATCATTTTACAAAGTTTACATAAATTGTTGTTCAAGTTTACATGAACATTAGCTAACACAACATAATATTACACCTAAAATATGAATTAAAGGCTGAAAGCTTTTAACTTCTTGTAGAAAAGTAGTAATGTACTTTTGTGTTTTGCAATTAAACCTTCACACAGATTAGGCTCTTATTAACTTAAAAATACATAAATTGTATCTTAAAGTAGAAAGTAACATGGAACTGTACATATCTTATTGATAACAAGTTCAGTTATAGAACACAAATGATATAATCGAATTTTTAACATTTTTTTTTTTAAGCCTAAAATTACCATACAACTTTAGAACACCAGCTTGATATAATGTTCTTTTGAAGCTTTTACCTTACAGACTTGTATACCTGGAAGATATGAACACATTAATAACACCATAATTACATAAATTTTTTTTTTTTTACATTTTGAAACAATACTTGTAAACTTTTAAATTTAAGCAGAGTTAACATTTTATTAGGGTCTTTTTGAACACCTAGAGAAACTTATAAGCTTAATTTTGAGGACATCTTTACTTTTATCTGTTTACCCAATCTAAATTGAACCGTTTGAATCACGTGAATTAAAGATATTTGGATCTATTTTTAATTTTTTTTTTTCAGGCTACCCAGTTCAAAATTGAAACTTTTAAAATTTTTTATCCCAAGTATTTAAGTTTTCTATCATGAACTATCTGAAATCAAACTAAACAATTGTTTAAACCCAACTTTTAACTGCAAGATAGTGCAATGCTTTAGAAACCCATTCAGATACCAGATTGTTATAATAAAAATTATTATTATTTATTTTTTAGACACATATTTAACCTAGATTATCCCTAAGAAACAATTAGACAACCAGATAAGAAAATATCTCTCCAGGTTTTGAACTTTCATTTAATTATGACTCCCATCAGTGGCACCATAGATTTTTCTATGAGTGGACCAGATGTTTTCACGTAGGGGCAACTATAGGTGTAAAATCAAGGGTCTCAGTGTGACTGGCTTTACTGCATTCAGTGTCCCTTTTTTTTAAGTAAACAGAGGTTAAGTAAACAGATCCTTAAGATGTAGATAAGGACCCAGGGAACTCCCCAGAGCTAAATGGCTCTGGCAGCTGCTGGGAGTCCCTTAATCCTATCTTTCACCCACAGGATCAGTTCCTCTAGTTTAGGTATTTTTTTTTTTTTTTAACTTGTTAGTAGCCAGCTCCCAAAAAGTCCATCCTCTGCTTGCAGTTGTTTCGAGTGCTAGGCTTCCCCAAGAAAGCAGAGTGGGAACTCCTTAAAAGTCCCCTTGAGAGTGTCAAAATTTGTGACTGAAAATTTGGTTCCCATCTCTAAAGCCAATTAACATTAATTTAATAATGAGGACAGGGCTTTGAGAAAAGTCAAAGCGAGATGTCAAAGTTGTTAAATCCCCAGCAGGCATCTCTATTTGCACTCAAGCCGGTTATGGGGGGGGAAGAAAACATTGCTTCCCTAGTCTCAGTATTCAGCCTTAGATAGAATTTATCATCCGCCTTGGGCTGCATTTCCAAGCAGCCCGACTCCAGGAAGACCCGTTCGCTTCCTGGGGTGGAGGGGCCGGGAGGAACAGGGACGGGACAGATCCGCCATACCGCCGGGTGGAATCCTCCCGGCGGACTGCGTGGATCCCACCCATGCAGGAGGGGATTCGCAGAGGTCCTGAAAGGTTAAAAGCCATGATCTGGATGGCCATGCGGCCCCGGCTGAAAGACAATCTCTGACTTTGCAAATTAGAGAGAGAGATGGAGGGACTCTCCTGGGGGCCATTTAACTTCGAGGGTGGGCCAATATTGGCCACTCCGTGGTACAGAGTGTTACCCATTTTTTTCTTTTTGACTGCCACGGACAGGTTGTCTGCCCGATCTTGAACGTCTTGCCAATGATCTAGAGTTAGGCTCAAAGGGGTTGTTAGTGATTGTCCCATGTTATTCTCAGAGAGGAAATAGAGAGACAGACACAATGACACAAAAACGAAACCAAACAGTGAGATCGCTGCGCGGCTTCGGTGGAAACCGAACAAATCAGATGGCCTGGGAGAAGTTTGTACTTCTTTGTCGCCTACAAAAATGGTGTAACCCTCGGAAACACCGGGGGCCCCAAAGAAATGGACCCTTCTGATCCCTGGGACGTCTCCCAGGGTGGCAGGGGAGAAGTCCGAGTTCGTCAACTCCTTCTCAAGCTGCCTCAGAATACTAAATGACAGAACTGCCTCAGAATACTCAGAATACTAAATGACTATGCCTAGGATCATATAGTCTTACAGACGCTGCGCGGAACAAAGAACAGATAACCAACAGGACAACAAGACAGTCAGTTTGAGCTGGCCAGCTTACCTCCCAGTGATGTCGGGTGTCCTCCGGATAGGGACCGGGATCAGAACCGGAACCGGGATCTTGGATCTCGGTGGGGCCTCCACAATGAAATATCCACAGATCCCAAACCCGGAATGAACCACACGAGACACTGGCTGCAAAAAGCAGGAGGCGTTTATTCTCACACAGGCGCCTGCGGGTGCACAGCAAAACCTCAGCCGGAGCTTCGGTGAACTGGCACACCGGGCTTTGGGGTATAGATCTTTTATAGGGGACAGGTGGGTTAGGTCTTAGCTTAGCACAGCAACAGCCTTCCTATTGGTCCCTCTGAATTCAGCAGTTGAGTCACCTAGGGGGGTAAACTTGTTTTCCCACTTTAGTTCTCAGAAAAACCATAAAATTGCATCCTGTCCTTTTAGTTCCTGTTTTTACCCTGTTTGCTCAAGTTTGGCCCTTCCGGGGTTATCTATATGGAACATCTTGCAGCTTCAGGGCACAGGGGTTAGTTTTCCTAATGTTGGGCCTGGGGCCTTGGGGTCCTTCATTGCAAATCTAAGTTTTTGTGTAACCCTCTCCACCCCCAGAACCAGTCTTCACACACTGGTGGGGGGTATCGACCTCAGTGAGAACACATCTTCTGTTGGAGGGGTGCGTGAAGGAATACACACACACACACACACACACACGTTTATCCTAAGTTTTTCCTAGAGATCTGAGTTTTTCTAGCGATCACTTCACTACAAGTTATAAACACCATCCGTTTATGTCACAGAGGCAGAAAGCTTTCACACGGTGGCACCAGAAACTTGGGTACTAAATTTAGGCTCATTTACAAGGGAAACATTAGTCTGTGAGTGATTTATTACTCAAGGGGGAATGTGGCCTTTATTTTTTAAATTGCTCTTAGGCAAATGTTCCAGGACTTTCCAAAGAGCATAGCATAAACAATTTAAATGGCAGTGCCATTGTCTCATCCTTCAAGAAAAGGAGGGCAGGAATGCCCTGGCCCTAAAATGCCCTCCCAGCTCACAGGACTAAAAGCCCAAGGAACTAGGAGAGCCCGCCCAGCTGGAATGCCCTGGGTCAGTGTCACCTAGAAGGACTCTGGCTTTCTCTCCTGTGTGATGAGAACAAGGGTGAGTTCGTGTCTTCTGCAGAAAGCTGCTCCTTGGGATGCTGGTCACACAAGGAGCCAAGCAAATGGCTGATGTCGCTGCTACTGTAGCCTGACTCTAAAACCTCTCCCTGGCATCTGTGCAGATCAGAGCACACGAGGGGGAAGAGCCTCTCGGGCAGCTGCCCCAGGACAAATCGTCGTAAGGGACAGGAGGTGCTGTTCTCTGGCAAAGCACCATAGGCATCATGAGCAAGAGGCGTCCCTGTCCAGCTGGTCACCAATGGACTTCCTGGCAAAGTACCCAACAGCTTGTCACCGGGTTCCTTCCCTGTAAACATTTTTCAATGAACCATTTGTCTCATCCCCCTCTCCCATCTCTAGGTACCTTCCTTGTCTCTCAGCAACATGTCCCACTGCCCTGGCACAGCAGGACTGTGGGCATTACAGATATTTTATGGGGAAGTCTGAAACAGCATCATGAGGTGCCCATTCAAAGCATCGGGCTGGAATTCAGAATAGTCAAAAGCAAGAAGAAGTTGGGAAATTATTACTTAATGGGACATTCCATAGCACTTACATAGATTGAAGTATTTGAGGTAGAATGGTTTAATCCCAAGCAAAAACAATTGCAGTTTCTCTGCCATCAGATAGCAAAGACACATGTTGACCCTAAAGTTCTTTTTTTTTTGAAGTTTTTATTTTTATTTTATTTTGACCCTAAAGTTCTTGAACCTGAGTTTTTACAACTGGAAAACCTCAGTTGGTAGGCAGTTTCCTTTTTGCAGACTAAAGGAATTCTGCATCAGAGGTTTTCCTTTTTCATTATCAATATTTAGTTTTATTTGCATCTTTCTCTATTAAATTGTAAATAATTTAGATATGCAAACTTTTCCCCAAAAATTCTGAAACTAATTTGCTGTCTTTCAATAAATTATTAAAATGACCATATCACTAAATATTATATTTTAATTGGATTTCTTTTTCTAGTGAGTTCAAACATTTTAAATTTATTACTTAAAGTATTCTTTGTTGTGTTTTTAAAAACAAATGTCCTATTCATGTCTATTCCAACTTCTTTTTGTATTGAGACATATTTCTTTTTCTTATTAATTTGTAAAAATGTCAGGTAAGTTGTAAATGCTCTTAGTTTTGCCTACATTTAAAGTCTGACTGCTTTTTTCATGAATTTTATTAATCTTTACTTTATGCTTTCTTTACTCCAAATTATGCAATGCCATATTTACTTCTTTTTTCTCATGGTTTCATTTTAGTGGTTAAATATTAGTTTATCTAACATTAACTTTTACATTTTCATGAGTTGTAGGTATAATTTTCTATTTTATAAATGTACATATTTTCCTAAAAGTTAAGTTTAAGTAGCTGCCCAAGTTTCAAATATTTATTAATTCTCTTTCTCAACTCTCTACTTTCAATGTTCAAGGTTATCTTTGGATTGACTATTAGTACTCAATGACTGAGTAAATTGAGTCATGGATAATATTATACCTCTTCCATTGAGACTCAAGTTCTAGAAAACGCTTAGCCTAAGATGCAGAGTCTTAACTTGGCTTCAGATGACCTGCTTAGCTTTTTCACAAGTAAACACCATTAAAGGGGAAACGTGGATAAGTATTCAGTTCATCTCAGTCTCAGCCCCTTTAGAGAGAGCTCATGAATGTCTCTTAGCTACGAGAGCCTCCCAGGTTGTTGTCCACGTTGTTGTCTTAAGTACCCAATAAGAGCTCATTGAATCCACGTGACTCTGGGCATGTTCCTTGACTTCTCTGCCCCTCATTCTCTTCACTTGCAGAATGGGGTGATAAGAAATAAGAATACCTACCTGCGCTGCTGGGGGTGTAAGTGTTAATATGCATAGACTTCCGTACAA